TATATTATAATTTGTAAAATAATATATTTCACCTCTTGTGCCAACATTCCTATGCTTTTTATTTCAATAAACATAATATCCTCAATTATACTCAATAAAAAAAATAGCAAATTTTGAATTTCCTAAATTATCTATAAAAACTCTCAGGAACCCCTGTTCCTTTTGATCAAATTTTGCAATAAATTGTGTTTTTTTAATTTGGAACTGATGTGTGGATCCAGCCAAATTAGTTTTTTTTAAATTTATACAGGGTGTTTTCAATATCTTTGAATTTTGACCTGAAATAGCTAAACCAAGCACGGATTTGTAATCTACGACCAAAAATTAAGTTTACATGTCCAAGCGTTTAGCTGTGACATTTTCACCTCCCTACAGTGTTAATAATGAACATGAAAATTTAATTATTTTACAAAAAGCCAAAATTTAGTAGGGTAAAGAGTAAATTTTTGTCCTTAAATGGTAAGTACAATATATTGTACTATATATAGTCAGTAACTTTTAGATATTTCTATATTATAGTTAATAAACATAGTCTATTGATGGCGGGCCGATGTCTGAAAGCGACAGAAAATAATCATAATATGGTCGGCAATTGATCGTTGGATTGTCTCCTATTGACGGTGAGTCGTCGCGACGGTCGTAAATCAACGGCGGGTCTATGTTTAAAAACAACGTCCGGCCAATGTCTAAAAACAACGGCTGGCCAATGTCGGCTCTTGATCGTTGGTTGACCGTCTACCCTTGTCTGCTATTGAAGGCGGGCCGATTGTAGTAAATCAACGGCGGGCCAACGTAGTCATTATCGCTTGCTGACGTTCAGCCTCTCAAAAATGCCGCTGGCTTCCGGTACCGGATAAAAGCAGATGTTTGCGGGGGTGCACTAACCGGATGAAATCAGGTGTTCCCAGATAAAAACACGTTTGCGGGTGAAACCGTATGAAAGCAGACGTTCGCGGGTAAAGGAATATGTTTGCGGGTAAAACCGGATAAAATCAGACGTTTGCGGATGAAAGCAGATGTTCGCGGATGAAAGCAGATATTCGTGGATGAAAGCAGATGTTCGCGGGTGATTGCAGATGTTCGCGGATAAAAGCAGATGTTGGCAGATAAAAGAAGATGTTCGCGGATTAAAGCAGATGTTTGCGGGTGAATGCGGGGGTGCACTAACCGGATGATATCAGGCATCCCTGCTTAAAATACCCCATAGAGACCCTGTTCAAACCGATAGATATTTGTATCGGAATGTATGGTGTTTCTATATGGTGAATCGGTATGTATAGGACCCATAGTTGGCATTTATGGTTGTTCTATAGGGATATCCACCCTTGATTTATTTGCTATTGGTTTCAATGGGGAAAATACACATAAATGTAGAAATTAGTTTTCCCCCATAGAACCCTATAGGTTTTGTTCGTTGCGTTGAGTATGTTGAGTATGTTGCGCGATTAAAAGATGGTTTAACAAAAAAACAAAACTTTATTTTAACATGGTTGTGTATATGACTAAATTTAAATTCTTAATGTTAAAATACTAAAATCTAGGTAGAAAATACACCAAAAAGGGGAGGGCGTTGCAGCCACTTGACGGCTAATATCTTCCAGATGTCATAGCAGAATTGATTCTCCCTTTTCTTGGTAATTGCTTTTACTTGTAAATATTATGCACTTGTTAAACAGATAATTTATAATATATGGGCCAAGCGTAAACATGCCCCCGGCCTTGGCAAGTATTGCCAAAAAAAACAAACAAAAAACAAAGAAAAATACATTGATATGGCAATACCCTTTACATATAGATAATATCTAATAATATCATATTATGACAATGCAAATGAAGTAGCAGAATATCTCAATTGGTGCATTATAAATTCGGTAAATATATAAGTATAAGTAAAATATAATTTGTAAAAATGACTGCCTTTTAATTTTAAACATGCTATAATCGAACATATAAATTTTAAGCCCAACTACCTAATACTAACTTATATTATGTCTACATGAGTTCAATATATTTAGTTTGTTCACTGCTTTTAATTATTCTCTACGTCGTCGTTTAAGGGCAACGGACATATTTTAGAAAAAGATCGTGTTACGACTCCACTATAGAAGTTTTAATTTTAAAAACACGTGCTACACCATCGCGACCACAAATCACTTCAATGATGCGACCAAGTTTCCACCTCATGGGTGGCAAATTGTCCTCTTTGATTAAAACTAGGTGGCCTTCGTCAACCTTATCTCCTTTAGTAGATACCCATTTGGTTCTTTTCTGTAGCTCAGAAATATACTCTTTGTTCCAGCGTTCCCACATATGTTGTGATAGCTGTTGTGTCAGCTGATAGCGTGTAAGTCGATTTATCGGGATGCTTGTGAATTGTTTTTTGCCTGTTGTGGTTATTGGACGACCAATAAGAAAATGCGCTGGGGTTAAAGCTGTGTAATCATTGGGATCGGCTGACAGCGGCGTCAATGGGCGCGAATTTATTATAGCCTCAATTTGGGTTAATAACGAATAAAATTCTTCATAAGTAAGGTGTGCATTTGATATAACTCTTTTGAGATGATGTTTAATTAATTTAACTCCTGCCTCCCAAAGCCCACCAAAATGTGGCGAATAAGGAGGTGAGAATTTCCATTCTATCTCGTCTTTAGACAATGAATTAACGATACTAGACTTATTTAATTTAAGAAATGAGCTAAGTTCTTTAAAATCCGCACTTGCAGAGACAAAATTCTTACCATTGTCCGAGAAAATTTGTCGGGGTTTTCCCCTACGTGACATAAATCGTTTTAGTGCTAACAAAAATGTTTCCTTGGATAAATCCGTAACAACTTCAATATGTAACGCCTTAGTACTAAAACAAACAAATATGCAGATGTAACCTTTGATTAGTTTACAACCGCGACCCTTTCGGTCTCGGAGTAAGTACGGACCTGCGTAGTCAACGCCGCTTACAACAAATGGTGGTCCGGGAAATAGTTTTTGATAATGAAAGTAATGAAAAATAAGCCTTGTAAGCGGATGATTAGATGCAATTATACTTGGATGTCGTTTTTCGTAAGAAAGAGAATTTTGCAAGCGACCCCCTACGCGAAGAACACCTTCTGTGTCAACAAATGGAGATACATTTTTCAATTTGCTTGAGTTTTTAACAGGGGTATTGTTCGTTAATTGTTGTATTTCGTCGTAAAAACTTTCGTTTTGAGCTGCCTTTAAAACGTAATGATGAGGCATGAAATAAAATTGCTCGTGAGGCGCATTAAGAGGATCAAAGTCCTGTATATTTTTCATGTGTCCAAGATTAATGTATTCATGTATGATCGCTTTCGTGCATTATGCATTCGATATAGACGTATAAAATTCCAAAGTTAAAAAAAAATATTTCCTATGTTATTTAAATGGGAAATAGAAAATTGCGATCCGCGACCTCTAAATCTTCAAATTAAAAGCTCAAATTTTAACGAGGTCTTTGTTTTGACATCCTCTAAAAGAATTTGCTGACCATTTGAAGAAAAAGTCGATTTTTTTGAAACACCCTAATGTATATATGTACCTAGCACGTGCTAAGTATAATTTATAAATTAATTATAAAAATATATTTAAAAATACGATAATTTTTAAGCCTTGGTAAGATAAATCCATTCCCAAAACTGTACAAGAAAAAAGTATTCGAGTAAAAGTACAATTGTACTTTTACTTAAGTACTTTGAAAAAAATGTACTTGAGTAAAAAGTACAAAAAAATCCAAAAGTACTCACGAGTACAAGTACAAAGTACAAAGTACTTTTTCAAAAAACTCTTAAAATGTAATTTAGGTTTCAGTATCTAGCAAAAAAAGTTGTTAAAAGTTAAACATAACAAAATATCAGGTTTAGGTCATTTAGGGATATTTAAAAAAACTGCATTTGTATATTTATTTAATACACGTATTTATTTATCTTTTGAATATTTTTTTTCCAAATAACCAATTATTTCGATTTTAAACAAAAAAAAATATTAAAATAGATTAACTATTCTTTTACATAGGTATAACCTTTATTACCTATAGGTATACCTATTTTCATGCAAGTAATTTAAATTATTATATATTTTATTTAATAAATAGCCTAAACATTATTTAACTGTAAGCACGAAATTAAATTAAAGTAACATGCATTTATGACTGCAAAAAAAAACAAGATTGAATGCAAAAATATAACCTAACTTTTTAAGCGTACCAAATATAACAAAAACTTAATCGAGTAGGTAATCAAATACAAAATAATATTTAAAATCCTACTTACCCCAGTATAACAAAAACCAAAACACTTAAAATAATACTAATCGTCGGCTACATGAGTTAACCTGCTAACTCCATTTTTACTATTTTGTGATTTTTTGTTATTTTGGCCAATAGATGGCGCCTTGCGTCGACCTATAAACATTTTATATCCCTATTTTGTGTAGAAAATTTCTTGTGTCACAAAATAGAGTATTTCTACTAGAAATTTTATATTTTGTGACACAAGTATACCTGTTAACTTCCTATTGAATAGTGGACAAGAAAATACTGCTATCTCCAGCGAATTTCAGGCAACAGGTGTACTTGTGTTACTTTGACTTCCAGTTCCGTGATTTTTTACTGTTTAGTGCAAGTTTTTTAGTTTTCCGTGTGGTTTTATTCAAAAAGGTAATAGTTTATTTATTGTCTCATAATTTTATTTGAATATAATCACCGATTTTAAGTCAAAACAAACCAATAAACATAATTTTGGAGTTAGAAGCTTTTCGTATTCCCTACATCCAAGTAAAGGTTTGGATTTAGCAGATTTTCCATGTTTTTTCTTTTTTTGTTATTCATGATTACATAAAGATAGAGTTAAGAGATAAGAGTTTTTTTGTAAAAAAAATACTTGTAACTTGTTGGAGAATTTTATTGCTTAATTTAACCCAAATGCAATAAACAAGGATACGTTAAAATTAATTTCAATGCATAGTCTGAACTTTATTTTTATTACAGTATGTCAAAACGAACAAGAGAAATTTTGAAATTAGCTGCCAGACAAGTTCAGAGTAATTACCACCACTCAAATGAAGATCCTAACAATGTTATGACCGCAAATAATTATTAAGTTGTTGAAAATGTTAATATTGAAATTATTGATTACCAACCATCGCTTTCTGAAGACAACGATCCACATTTATTAAATCAATTCGATGTTATGGAATCAAATATGCTGTACACCATGGATATAGACAAAAAAACTGAAGAAATTTACACTGAAACAGAAATTACAGGCATGACGTACTGTGATACATTGGAAGTAATAGACTTAGAAAAGGATAACTGTAATGAAATAGAAGTGCCATACGCAGAAAAAACAGACAGACAAAACATAGAAGGCGCGATGGACACAGAAGATGCAGGATGGCATGAAGTAGACGGAGGTACATCATTAAATTCAGATATATCGGATGATAGTGACTACATTACACCCAAGTTAGTAACATACTCAGGGTCTGACAGCAATTGTTCTGATGAAATGCCAATAAAAAATAAGAAACGACGTAAAAATTTCCAGGTGGACAAGTCAACGTGGTTTTCAGAAATGAATAGAAAGAGGCGAGAAAGTGGAAAGCGATACTATGGTAGAACTAAAATAAACGGAAAATGGACTTATGACATAGAAAGAAAACCAAGAAAGCTCAAAGAAAGGTGCAAGTTTAAGTATAAAAACGGATCTATGAAATGTAGTCAAATAACAGAAGGGCAAAGAAAAAACATATCAGATTATTTTTGGAGTTTAACTTGGGGAGAAAAAAAGGTTTTCGTGGACAGTACTGTAAAGAGTGATTTTATTAAAAGGCCGAGAAAAGTACCAGATCAATCAAGAAGAAATCACACTTTTAAGTACTTTTCAAAAATAGGTGACCAGGAATTAGAGTGTGTAGAACAATGTCCTTAAATACAGTGGGATTGGGCCGTTGGAGTGTCCAAAGCTGGAAAAATAAATTCTCAAATTTTGAAAAAGCTGATGATGAGGAAAATAAATCCAAAAAAAACCTACTCTATATAGGAAGAAAGAAAAAAATAAGAAGAAACCTTTTGAAATAGAAAACAAAAGTATGCACGAGTTTTTTGATTCCTTACCGACTATGGAATCTCATTACTGTAGATCCTCTTCAAGCAAAAATTATCTTTTGCCTGAGTGGACCTCAAAGGAAGAACTCTACAGACTTTACAAAACAGATTGGTGTAGACTTAAAAATATACAACCATTAAGCAGCACCACATTTAAAAAAGCATTCGATTAAAAAAATATGGCATTATTCAGGCCAAAAAAGGATGAATGCGAAATTTGTAATAAATTTAAAGAAGGTTATATATCGGAGGAAAACTTTATATTAACTTGCATATTTCAAGAAAAAAATAAGCTAGAAGGGAATTGGAAAAAGATAAGGAAAATGAAAAATTTGTCTATACCGTCGATCTTCAAGCCGTATTACTCTCTCCTAAATCTAATATTAGCAGCCTTTACTATAAGACCAAATTGTGCGTCCACAATTTGTGTTTTTTTGATCTTATTAATAAAGGATTTTGTTATCTTTGGCACGAGGGAGAAGGGGGGCTAAATGCAGAAGAATTTTCATCTTGCTTTCATTTTTTCATTGAAAACCACGTTATTCCATTCATTGATGCAGACAAAAGAAAAATAGTTATCTGGAGTGACGGCTGCACATACCAGAATCGGAATAGCGTACTAGCTAATGTTGCTATTAATTTGACAAAACTATATCAAATAACTATTGAACATAAATATCTCGAAGTGGGGCACACTCAGATGCCAGTAGATTCAATGCATTCGACTATAGAACGTCGTGTAAGGTCAAAAAAAATTAATGTTCCAGCAGAATATGCTGTTCACTGCAGAATTAAACCCAGACCATATAACGTAAAATATTTGGACCATACCTACCTTCTTTAAATCCTTTAAAAACATTGAAACGGTAAAAAGTATTAGACCTGGAAGAAAGCCTGGAGATGCTAGGGTTGTTACCAGTATAATATTTTGTTTTTCCTTATTCTTTTAATTTTTTTCGATTAAACTCTTAAATCATATTGATTTATTTTAGGTAACCGACATTCAAGCTTTATTTTTTATAAACTGCGATTTTCAGAAGAATGGACAATTCTTCCCCAGCGAAGACAACAATTACCTATAAAAACATGGAATGAACTAGATGCTCTACATGAAAATAAAATTGCAATCTCAGCCAAAAAATTTTCTGATCTCCAACATCTTAAGTTAACTTTAGCAGCCGACTACCAAGGTTTTTACGATAATTTGCCACATGAATAAATGTGTTTTTAGAAAGAAATATATATTTTTTTAATATTCTTGAGTTATAATATAATGTTGTTTAATTTTAAAATAATTACTTTAACTTTTGTTCAGTGCCATGTTTCGGTCGAGTAAATAAAAAAACTGCTATCTCCTGATTTTTATTCGTAAAAATAATTTTTAAAACTGCTAACTCCATTTTTAGGCTGTAGAACTTAAACTTAAAATATTGTGCTTGTCATTTATTTAAAAAAGGTAAAAAACATATTGGAAAATATATTATTAAATTACAATGTCAAATGATCCCGTTTGTATTGATAAAGACAGTTTTTTCTCCCTCCTAAAAAGTTGTCCTCATGTGAGTTAGCAGGTTAACACATGTAGCCGACGTAATGCATATTCTGTATTGCAGAATAATCTCAAATTTCTTAAAAAAAACCGTTACATACGAATTATGACGGCACTACCAGAGATAAAAAAGGGCACTACCTCTTGTAATATGTAATATCTCTATAAACTAGGGCACCACAATGATATTACAAGTACAAGTACAAGAACTTTTTTTAAATGTACTCTGGACTGAGTACCGAGTACATAAAAAGTACTTAAAGTACAAAATTTGAGTACAAGTACTTGAGTACCGCACAGCTCTAATACCATGGCAACACTGTTATGCACTTGCATAGTTCAGAGAAAAACCTTAAGGTTATAAATTTAAATTATGGCAATTAATTTCACAAATGATCTCATAAAGAACTCAGGATGAGCTCAGCAATGATTCAGCTAATGAGCTCCAGGTGAGGTCCAGCTGGACCTAGGTGATTTCACAGAAATGCATTTGATGTCATAGTGAGTTCACTGTGAACTCACGCGATGATTATCAGTGAATGATTTTTTAATGAGTCATAAATGTTATCTGGGAAGTTTAACGCCCGATAAAAAAAGATTTTATATAGTTGTATATCATTATATAAAATGTATATAGAGTTATATATAATTCATATATAATTATATAAAGTTTATATATAATGATATACAATTATACATAATTCTATATAAAATATTTTTTTTAAAATATGGAATTTATATAATTATATACAATTATATATAACTCTCTATGAAATTTTATATACTTTTATATAATTATATACAATTATATATAATAATTTCCAATTATATATAATTATATATTAGACCCTATTGAAGTGTCTATATAACTATATAATATCATATACAATTCTATATAATTATATACAATTCTACAAAATTATATATAGGTCTCTTTTAAGGTAGGGTGAAGTGGGGTAAGTGCGCTTTTGGGGTAAGTGCACCAATTGGGTTTAAAAAAAAAACTATTCAACCTGCGGTGGCACCCTCTGGTAAATGCGAGAGCATGACTCTTTTTCACTAAAATACACATCCCTTCTTTAACGAAATCAAATTGGTTAACAAAGAATGGCGACTTTATTGAGTGTTGTCGTTTTTACTCGCGTGTTAAATGCGCAGTTCTGTGAAAAAACACATTTATTACTGGAGCTAAGGTACGTGTAAAGCTACTAGATATTTATTTTGAAAGTTTATATGTGTTTTAAGTAAACTAATATGCAAAATTACCTTTATTGTAAAATAAGCTAACTTTGAAGGGGTAGGTGCTCTTGCCCCAAAATTTTCTCTTATTGGGAAAGTGCACCTACCTTCATGGGGGAAAGTGCGCCCACTTTCCCCGGAGTTAGTTTCGGCCTACGCAGTTACGTAATACGTAACATACTATGTTCTTGTTTCTAAGCACATTTTTTTTCATAGATACCATAGGAAGAAGAGGCGAAATGAAGTTTGACATCAGTTTTTCGCATTATAATATCAATTAGATTTACTGTATGAAGTTTGTTTTTCATTAGTATTGTATTTTTGTTTGATTATTTCATAAACAGTTGAGAATAAAAACTCAGAAATCAGTTTGTAATCATGGATTTTTCTTTGCTAGCTAATTTTCCTAAATATTCGAGTTAAATGTAATAACTTTATAACCAATAAGTCAATTTAATTGCGGTAAATTGCAAAAAAATTCACAAAACTGTGAGTTTGTTGCACTTGCCCCGTGAATGCCCCAAATATGGGGCAAGTGCACCTACATGTATATATTTTTACAAAAAAAATAGCTGTGGTGGCGAATTACGTTTAACGCAGAGTTTAGATATGCCATGAGATACACCACTAAGGGAGTTGTTTATATGCCAAAGACTGGACTCTTACCATTGTTCTAAATAATTTTATTAACTATTCAATTTGTATTTTGCACTTGGGTGGGTGCATTTACCCCACTTCACCCTATTTTAAATTGTTTATAATTTTATATGATTATAATATATAATATATAATATAATATATATATATATACAATTCTATATAATTATATATAAGTCCCTTTAAAGGTATGTAAAATTGTATATAATTCTATACAATTTTATATAAATTTATATAAGTTTTTTTCAATTGACCTTAAGGTATATAAAATTGTTTATAATTATATTCTATATAATTATATATAATTTAAGAAAATTATCCAGGTATATGGATAATGACGTCATTAAAAAAAATATTTTCAATTGGTTAAGGATTTTGATTACAAAAAAATAAGGATTATTTAATTTTATGTGGGTAAGTGATAATGATTCTTATAAATCGATTTATTTTTGGTGAAGATTCGCAAGTAGAACTTTAATTAAAATTTCAGCCCTTGACTAAAACGCCATAAAGTAACAGCTTGTCAATATGTATTTAAAATATTTTGGAAACATGAACGATACTGGGAGTGGAAGTGGGAGTAGAAAAACAAGATTACATTTTGTGTATTTGTTATATGACCACAAAATACAACTGGATAGCAGACAACTTAATACGCATGCGCAGAAATCACGGCTGGTAACTAATAATTGTTCAAACACCTTAAGCAACAATTGTTTGTAAGGTAGGTATTAACCTATTTTAAAATAAAGTGCCCTAAAGTGCCCTATTTTTTATCAATTTTTCGTTTATTTTTTAAATTTTGATATATAAAAATTTAAATGCTTGTAAATAAAATTTACACTAAATGTTAATTAGGTGCGAAGGCGTACAAGGGTTTTAAGAAAGTGAAGAGTCCAAATGCGGCATACATAATATAATAAAACGGTCAATTCACATTTTGAATCTGGCGGTACAAGCACCACGCCCCCAACATTTTTGTTAGTGTACCAAGTTGTTTTATTAATTGTGACAAAATGAACAAACAATAAATAATATTTTAGCAATATTGAACACCATTTATAGTGCCAAAATAATAATTACTGTGTAATTAATAGGGCATACAATCCACGGGATTTTTTTGATGATATCCTGGGACTTTCGGACAAAAGGTGGGATATTTCAAAAAAATCGGAAAGTAAAATTTATCACTATTTAATTACATACATCTTACAGTACTGTAAGTTGTATGTAATTAAATAAGTGATTAATATTACTTAACTGTTTTTGTTTATATTTTTCCTTTATTTCCAAATTGTTTATATAAAAAAGGGTTTCAAGTATTTATTAATAATAAATTATTTAAAATGTTTTTTGTAATTTAAAAAAAATCCCGAAAA